AAGTTGAAACTCGTCATTGGAGGGAATGATGACTGCATTAGTGAGGACGACGTCGAGGGGCAGGCTGAGTGAGGCGAAAGGGTCGAAGGTGACGGATGTGTAGTTGCACTCAGGACAGACGACCGTGGATTTGAGCATGCCGTGGAATAGGTCAACAATAAAGGAATCATTACGCTTCTTATACCTGTCCCAGGCCTCCTTGGCAACTTTCTGAAATCATGAAAATACCATTAATGTAAAGCTATGGGCGATACAAAGTGCAAGTCGAAAGACACGGTGCAAGTCACTTAAAGATCAAGAATGACGTGCATTTAGGATACCAGTATAACTTTGTAATCGGGACACGGAAAAAAGGAAAGTGCATTCCATGTAATAAAGCTGGTCTTGCGCATAATTCTACGAAGGTAGCATACTCCTGTGTCTTAACCCTAATAGTAGCTCTCGCACGAGCAAAGGACATAGTCCTTATCTCAACCCGAAGCCTGCAATTAACACTGACCCTAGTCTTAACATACCTTAATGCTGACCTTAACCTTAAATCTAACGCCAAACGTAACCTTAACACTGTGCACAAACCTGGTCCTATTTTACATTGAATTTCGTGCAAAGTCACCTACGTTGCCGTGGTTCCTGCTCTCGCGTACCACTTAGGGATCAGTCCAAGTCGTCTTCATCTTTAAAAAACACTTCGCGGTGGACACCTAACTAAGAGATACCTCTAGAAACTAAACGGATCGCCTGTAGTTCGTTATGATGGTACGGATGCGTACTAGACTGGGGACACCGAATGTGATTGAACAGTCCAGAAAAAGGTTGAAGCTATTAGAGGGGCGTAGAAGAAAGTGAGTCAAAAAGGGGCTGCCACCATTGGAACTAAAATCGGCATGAACTGGCGAGAGACAAGTAGATGCAGCTTCGCAGTTGAAAAAAAAACATTTATAGGACAGAATAAATCTGCCAAATACGTACACTTTGTTTTTGACGGCCTTAACATAGGACCACGTTACTTGTCTATTTGCCCATCTAGAAAACAGGTTGTGCTTACTCATTCCGAGGAATGGAACGCTCTCTCTAACTGAAGTCACTCAACGAGCTGCAGTTTTTTTTCTGTTAAACTGTCAAATCAATCTATAAGTATATCGTTCGTTA